TAAAGCACAAGGTAATCATTTACCTATAATTTCTTTCATTGATTCGATTCAATTTAGTAGTAAAATCTTTTTCCTTTTAAATATATTTTATTTTATGAAACACGAGCAGGGAAAAAAAGAAAGAAAAAAGAAATTCAAATAATTTTATTTCGTGCATTCCAATCTCAACTGAAATTCTCATGTCAACTGTGACACAAGAAATACATAACGTATAAAGATGAAACAAGAATGTACAAGAATAAATAAATAAATAACTTGTTAGAGTACTGTCTAACACCTTCAATAGGGTTGAGGGTGTGGGGGGGGGGGTGCGTTTAATGCCATCATGGATTCACGCCCACACTCACACCCTTAAAAAATTACAATGATGATTCCAATCTTACGTTACAATAAGGCTGACTTCACAAACGTTCATTGGTACAAAATTCTATATGTTAGGGAAAATGTTAATTTCTGCTGTGGGACCACTAGTTCCTTTGCAAATATTACAGTTTGTGATTGTAAAAAAGTTTAGATTAGCATAGAACGCAAAATTCCGAGTTAGAAATGGTGTTTTTCGCTGAGTTTTAGTTAATAATTATGCTAGGAGGGTCAAATAATCAAGAATGTGGTACAAATAGTGATTAGAGCTATTACACGAATAGAAACTTTTTGAGAGTTATCACGGTAATATTCATCATCAGCGCTCCCAAATCTTGAAACTCTTGCGATTTTGACTGGTCAACAAAAATAATTGTATTTATGATACCTAAGGGGACCGCAGGCACAAGAAGTGTCAATGTTGTTTTTCAAGGAATAAAGTAGACAAAAATGATCAGAGTCGATTGGGTATTCGATGGTATACAAACGCTCACGCTCATGAGCGCTCATATGAGCGTGAGCATTGGCCGCTCACGCTCATGGAGAGCACGAGCGAAAACCGCTCGCTCACGCTTAAATGAGCGCTCATGAGCGTGAGCTGTACACCCCTAGTCTAGTGAATGACTATGAAGAGTGCCAATCTTTTTATTTTTTTTATCTTACATGAGTATAGACAAGGGATATGAAATTTTTATTATTGATGTCTGGCCTAGAAGGGATCTATTCAGTATCTTGAGTGAATCGCTAGATTTGTTTTTGGAAATTGGTTTTGTTGATTTTCAATCTGCACTAAAAGTGAATATTCTTTATTGAGTCATTTACTAAAGATAACATTGAAGCATTTGTTATTTATGAAAAAGCATAAAAGACTATGTACACAAATACAAACCGCTTACGGTTTTGTACGAAGTGCATGGAGCCTAACAATGCTTTAAGAAAAAATGTAACGTTATTTTAGGAAACTTGTAAAATCACCAGAAAGTGTAGAGAACTACAAATCGTTTCGTATAGTTTGTGCAAAGCCATCAATCACCCCTATTGTCAGCGTCCATGATAAATCACTTGGACGCTCACTTAGCATTCTATTACGCCTTCTAGTCTAATTGGCTTAGGACAACTGCCCGGATAGCAGGAGGTGTGGGTTCGATCCCCACGAAGGTCAGCTTTGCCCCTCTCTTTCCATTCTTTCACTGTGTGCCCATCAGAAGCTAATAGGACTATAACAGTTCGGAAACAGTTCCGAACTGGTGAACTGTTCAAACAGCTCTCTCAAACTGAGCTGAACTGCTTGAACAGTTCAGTTCAGCTCAAGAGAGCTGTCAGAACAGCTCTTTCGAACTTAGTTGAACTGTTTGAACAGTTCGGTTCAGCTCAAAAGAGCTGTTCGAACAGTTCTCGTGAGCTGGAGCTGTCGTACTCCTAGAGCTAACACCTATGAAACTGAAATCTTTCGTGGAAAATATACGAAACCATAAGATCAATAATATGAAGGCGAGAAGTTTAGTTCAAATAATTCTAAACCTTCTAATATTGTGCGAAACCTCTCATTACTCAGAATAAGAAGGACGGAACCTTTGATAAGAAATCGGAACCATCAGTCACTTTGTCGATATACTACGAAACTTTGTTTAATTTTGAGAAACTTATGATAGATTAGCATTTCAAGTGCGAAACCATAGACCAGTTTTCGGTACTAACAGAAAGTTCCGTTGAAAAATTGCAAAACCCTACCTTTTCTTCTGAACCTATAAAAGTTTTGCATAATAATTACGGAAAAGTGTTCACTTTACCGAACCTAAAACCGTTTAGATCAAATGTACTGAACCACTGAAGGTCGGTATTAAACCTATTTTTTTAGAGCGTAGGGTGTTGGTGTATGATCAGCACATGAACCCGCAGTTTCCCTCACACACTCAATAACTCAGACGGTTACCAACTCATATGGCTACAACTCAGATGCGATTAGTAAACTAATTAATTAGAATAAAGTTTTATATCAAGAATGAATTATGATAGATCTGGTATTTTTCGGTTAAGAATTCATTCGGCGAAAATGGACTAATTCCAATTCACTTCGAAACAATAAATACCCTCATGGGTGAATCCACGAATATCCAACCAATTTTTTGGAAAAAGCTTTTTCTTTATCGATTTTTTTGGTTCTAGTTAGCCCGGCAGTGGTCAGAAAACAGCATTGGCTGAAAAACATTGCCGACTTTCCCCTAAAGTGAGCGACATTGGGAGCGTTTTCTAGGAACATCCAATGAGAGTCCTTCGAATTATTTCAAGATATTGCGCTCATATTTTGCGCATTAGTAAAGGATCACTAGACTAGCATAGCATCCAAAGGATTCTTCTTTTGATCAAGAGGGTGTGGGTGTTGGTGTTGATGTAAGTGGGCGCAGATGTGCAGATTGGGTTTAGTCTTCTGTTCATATGCTCCCACACCCACACCCACCAAGAGTAGTACATGATAGCATTCCACTACTTTTTATCACAATGTTTAGGAGAAAAAGCCCTTTCTGTTGATATATAATTCACTTGGGTTCAATGTAAAAAGTAACCTTGGGCCCAAATGGCTTCTTATCCGCCCCTGTCCTTCAATCTTAAACTCAACATATCATTAAAAATAGTTAGTTTCGCATTAATCTAAGTGATTCTCGAATTCATTTTTGTACTAAAAATTTATTTGTACCATAAGTTCAATTACTTTTGATTAACACTTCCAATGAGGGAACATATCCAGGTATCGGAACAATTTTGAGTCGGGACTTAGTGCATCTTATAGACCTCGGCAAAGCATGTCTACCGTAAGAAAAATTCGAGCTCATGGCTTGTTCCTGGCGAGATATTGTGGTTTTGGTCAATTTTCTTCATAAGACTACTTTTCCAGCGCAACCTTATTTTCAAGATGAAACTTTGCCCACATAAAGACCTCAGCTAAATTAGCTTGCAGAAAAAAATTTAAGGACTTTTCGACGAAGTCTCTTCGAAATATGAAGACTTCAAAAAATCGATGCTGTATGCATTGTATACACACTGTCAGTGGAAAAGAGTCTATATTTTGAAGAGACTTCGTCGAAAAGTTTTTAAATTTTGTTTTGCAAGCTAGTCTGGCTGAGATCTTTATGTAGGCGAAGTTTCATGTTGAAAATTTGAAAATAAGGTTGTGCTGGAGAAGTAGGGTCCTATAAAGAAAATAGACCAAAACCTCAATATCTCGCGAAGAACAAGACATGGACCCAAACTCTTTTTAAGGTAGACCTAGTTCACCGAGATCTATAAAATACACCAAGTCTTGACTCAAAATCGTTCCCACACCTGGATATGTTCTCTCGTAAGTAAATATTGCTCAAAATGCCTAAACAATTTTTATTTCTATACAAATAATTATTTTATGATAGGCTAAATATAACTTAGAGTACATGACGTAGTATTTCATGATGCCTATGCATATCCAGAAGTTAGTTTCTTGATCGCATGGTTCAATCGTCTGAATACTACACTGAAAAAAAAATAGCACCACACGGAACCAAGAAAGTTTCGAATTTTCTCACTGAACTTTAAAATGGTTTCGCAGGCACTACGAAACTTAAAAAGGGTTTCGAGATTTGAAATGAATTCTGAACCTTTTTTAGGTTTCGTAGGTTTTCCACAAAACCTTCGAAAAAGTTTCCTGGACTCTTGATAATAATTTTGAGACTATCTTGGGCTTTTACGAAACCTTTTTGAGGGTTTAGAATTCGTTTCAAAAATGGTTCCGTATAGTGCTATTTTTTTTCCCAGTGTAGGTAAGTGACAACTTGGTTCATATTTTAGACTCTAATAGCTTTAATTACACATTTCAAAAGAGAGAAGCCTGAATTCAACCGCAGTTCGCAATATGTGACGCCACAAATGTCCTCATATATTTGATTAGACTCGCTTTTTGACGACCGTCAAGACGAGGATTCATGGCACGACCACCAATTGAGTATTCAAGGCGTGAGATATGGACTATAACTCATTTTGGTCTAGTGCTGTACGAGGACGTTTTGAGAAAAAGATTAGACACGATACAACGACACAACTAGAAATAACATTGGACTATTTACCTGTTCTTTGCTCTCAAGGGCATGAAAAAAGAACGTTTTTGAGTAGGAACTTTTGAGACACCCTGTAGATTTGTCATCTCATTACTTAAACGAAATATTTATTAACTGTTACCAGACGTTCCCATTAAAAGCATAATCGGTAGAAATCTTTGACTTATCGCAAAAATCGCTTTAAAGCAGTGAAATCTTCCTTTCCTATGATCGCTTAAACATAAAAACGCGCTAAAAAAACTATTAATCTTAGACTATTTTAACGCGTTTTCGCTAACTAATCATACATGTCTAACTGTTTGTATTTTGAGATGTTTAAACACCGCATTTGCTGTTTGATTGTCTGTCTGGGTCAGCATCAAGGATCGAGAAAGAATTGCACAAAATGGGTATGTAGCAAATTTGAAATTTGTTTTCGATTAAGCTGAGTATTCTTTCCCAAAGAATATTATTGTATTTGGAATTTTCATTACTTTATATTATTTTTTCTCTGGCAATTCTTTGGTTTCTGTTACTTCTATCAATCTGGCGTATCACTCTTCATCTAAATTATCAATGAAGCTCATGAAAAAGAGTTCAACCAGATGGACTAAAAAGGTTATCGAAGATAAAATACCATTTCATAATGATTATCCACGTCCACATTTAAGAAGAGAACTATGGTTAAATTTAAATGGAAATTGGTCGTTTACAATAACATCTATCAATGAGACGTATCCAAAACATTTTGATAGGCTTATTCGTGTGCCGTTTCCTGTTGAATCTTATCTATCTGGAATTCAAGTACGTGTTGATTCAAACATGTATCTATGGTATAAACTAATATTTCAAATAAAATCTCGATCCTGGTATGATGGTAATCATCGTCAGTACCGTATAATGCTACATTTCGATAAAGTTGATTATGAGACAGTTGTTTATTTGAATCATTATGTTGTCGGTTCAAAACATTTAGGTGGTTATGACCCATTTTCATATGATATATCACCATATTTCGTTAATTATCAAGATAATGAATTAGTTGTACGTGTTTGGGATCCATCAAATAAATGGTATCAACCGCGCGGAAAACAATTATTAGATAATAAAGAAGTAAATGCGATATTTTATACTCCATGTTCTGGTATATGGGGAACGGTTTGGCTGGAACGAGTGCCACATATTCACGTTGACCGTTTACAATTTCAAACAAGACTATCATCAACAAAAGTAATTTTAAAATATCGTATTGATTTAAAGTCACTAGAAATAGCTTCATTTGATTTTATTTCGCCAAAGAAAAATATGTCAATTTATTCAGAACAAAACTTTAATAAACAGAATAAACGTTTATTGCATGCAAAGCAGAAAGAAACACTAGAAAACAATAAGACCACTTATAAAAATCTAGACTTTAAATTTAAAATAAGCATCGTTCAAAAAGATAACAAGCATTTAATTGATTTTATTTCTTATAAGCCAAATATTGAACAAGAAATTGCATTTTCTTTAAAAGAAATCAATCTTTGGTCACCTGAAAATCCATATTTATATGATATACATATTGATCTATATCAAAAGGGTACATTTATTGAACATATTTATAGTTATATCGGTTTTCGACAAATTTCTATTTGTTCTGAAAAGAAAAAGATTTGTCTTAATAGTAAACCATATTTTATGTTCGGTGTACTTGATCAAGGTTACTGGCCTGATGGTCTTTATCGTGCACCAACGGATGACGCATATCGATATGATATAGAACAAATAAAAAATTTAGGTTTTAATACAATAAGAAAGCATATGAAAAGTGAAACATCACGATGGTATTATTGGTGCGATGTATTAGGTATGCTTGTCTGGCAAGATATGCCGTCAGGAGATTCTTATGAAGGTTATGAAACTGCATTAGATGCTCATCAACAGTTCGAATTGCTTCGTGATAATCGAACCAATGATTTATCAATGCCTTCAAATACAGATAAAGATTTACCCATTAATTCGTCATCACCCACTACAAAGACCTTTGAGTCTAAAATTCAATTTGAATATGAATTAAAAGCAATGATTGATTTTCTTTCATTCCATCCATCAATTGTTATTTGGGTATTATTTAATGAAGCATGGGGTCAATATGATACAATACGCTTAGCAACATGGCTACAATCTTATGATCAAGATCGTTTAATTAATCCTGTCAGTGGATGGCATGATCGAACAGGTATCGGACATATTAGAGATATACATGATTATTCTAAAAACATTTTGTTACCATCATTTAATGATGAAACTCGAGCATTGGTTGTTGGTGAATGTGGTGGATTAGGTTTAATGATATCTGGCTGGAGTTATCATGTTTATAGTGATCGCTATCTAATCACGTATGCCTTTGAACAACTTTTAGTTAACATTTCATCCCGTTTATCAGCTGTAATTTATACACAATTATCTGACGTTGAAAATGAGACAAATGGAATTTTTACATATAATCGAGAAGAAATTAAATTTTCAATAACACATGTCAAACGTGTACTAAAAAATGATTATTCACGCTTATACCAGCTTAAACATTTATGGAATCTTACATCGATTCCTTACACTAATTATACAAAATTGCTTTTATCAAAATCATTCGATCTTATTGTTGATCATAATTCAACATATGATAAGCATTTTTATTTTTATGTATGTTATTTATATTCTCAAGTGAATATAACAATAGATCATCGTCATCAAATGATACTCAATCAAACTCATAAAGTAAAAGATTATCATTATATACCGTTGCCATCTACTCTTCTTCGTGATACTATACATCAAAGACATGTTCTAGACATTTATGTACATTATATGTCATCATTTGATGACGAGAAAGACAAACCTCTATTATATGCTAATAGAACGTATTTTGACTTAAATATTGCGATGCTTTCTGCATAACTGATATCAGGAGTGACAGAATTATCACGAGAAGATTTCAAGAATTCTGCAATATAACCATCAACACTATCCACAAACTTGTGACCGGTAGGGCCTTTTCCAGACCGATACCAGTACCAGTCTAAACCTGCCAGACTGGATCGGCCGGTCAGTATACCGGCATGAGTCATTGTTCGTTTTTCTCACCTTATAAGGCATGTGTGCCACTATTAAAATGCTTTTGTGAAGCATGATGATCAATGAGCATTGAAGTTGAGGTAGCAACAGTGGAATTCAGACTTCATGGGGTATTTGAATTTGCCGCAAATTCAAAATGCTTATACCGCTATACCGCTATAGTGGTATAGCGGTAGCTAGATGTCACGTATCCCTTACAGAGACAGAGACAGATGGTGTGGGTGTGTAATGTATTGAAAGAGAAACTAACACCCACACCCACACCCTCTCAGCACAGTAGAGTATATGCATGACTGTCTTGAATAATGATTAGTTGGAATTCATTTCTTTACTTTGATAAGCATATATTCGTTCGTAATGTATGTCGCAGGCATATATATAGGAATTAAAATTCCCATTAAAAACCATGGGCAACAAAAATAAAATGTTAGATGATATCATTGATTGACGAAGAAAAATGTTGCAATCAACATATGATAGAATACGTATTTAACAACATACCTAGAAATTTAAACAACTGTTTTTTATCTGAAAAATGACCGGTTGTGGGTGTGAGTTTAGATCTGTGCATGGATGAACAATGACGTGTACTCACACCCACACTGACACGCATATTATATATATATATAAAGAAATCTCTGCTTTGCTTTTGTTTATAAATTATAATGTGGGAAAATTTTATTATCTTATTCAATTTAATCTATAAATATTTATGCAGTGCTAAAGCTACCTGAGGATTGATCCTTGAGAAGGGTCGAAACTATAGTCGTAGCATATTCTTCTATATAATACACACCATAACAAAAAAAATGAAACTTTTATTGACTTAAAAGAGACTATATCTCATCTCACACATGTCAAGTTCTTGAATGATTGATGTTTTCCAAATCAAAAATAGTGATTATTTTCATTACTAAGTATAATACAATTCGAACTACTAAATATAGTCTGTTCCTTTTGTAACCATGCCATATCAATTAATGGTTTTATTTTCCCAGCAATATTGACATGTAAACTTTGTCGTTGAGACATGTTTTCTAAAATAAAACCGATTGTGATTGTGCGTATCTTCCACACAATTTTAAAGCAATAATCTTACGAGATAGATGATTACATATAGAAGCATTATTCCAATGTTCTGTCGCTATCTGTAAAATTCTCTTCTCTGAAACTAATAAACGTAGATTAGGTGCATTTTTCAATGTGTGAAGAAAGTTTCCTGGTGATATCATAGTAGGACAGTTCATCTCTAAATATTGTAGTTTACTCAATACGTGTATCCCGTTGGCGCATAAGTTCTGAGAATTTTTTTTTCTGGTTTAACAATAACTTTATTTTTCAACAAAGATATGCAAAATCAATCAACAATATAATCGCCATTATTTTCAACAACATTCGCCCATCTTTCTGACAATATTTCAATTCCACGTCTGTAGAAACTACTCGGTTTTGATTCGAAAAAGGCAGTTAGATCGAGTTTCAGCTCATTGAAGTCTTCGTAGTGTTTATTGCACAGGTAGTTACGAAGAGATAGGAACAGATGATAATCGGATGGTGCAAGGTCTGGTGACCACGGCGGGCGCGGAAGAACTTCCCATCCTAACTGTTCGATTTTTTGCTGAGTCAACTGTGCCACATGAGGTCGACTATTGTCATGGAGAAGGTTGACGGCTTTTTGATTCGCCAAAGCCGGTCGCTTTTGACATAGAACTTCATTCAATTACTGCAATTGTTGCGAGTAGACATTGGCGGTAATCGTGTGATTGATATCTAACAGCTCGAAATAGATGACGCCTTTCATATCCCACCAGATGCACAACATTATCTTCTTTGGATGCATGTCTGGTTTTATATTTGGAAATGGCTTTTGGCCAGGATCAAGCCACTGCCTCCTGCGGCACACGTTGACATAACACACCCATTTTTCATCTCCAGTGACAATTCGATCCAAAAAGGGCTTCTGCTTTTGTCTGGATAGCAAAGAAGCACAAATCGATGCTCGCTGAACCAAGTTGTCTTTGGATAATTGGTGTGGAACTGAACGTCCATACTTATGTACCTTACCGAGAGCATGAAGATGACGCTCCACTGTCGAGTGATGACAGTTGAGTTGTTCGACTAATTCGCGTGTTGTTTGATGTGGATCAGCGTCGAGTAAAGCTTGCAACGCTTCATCGTCAAAGTGGCATCTTTGGAAACGGGACTTGGAAAACCATCGGTAACAAGTGGAACTGCCGACCGCTTCCTCGCCGCTTCCTCGCCATATACCGCTTGAATATTCTTTGTTGCTTCAGGTGCTGTTGAGCCTCGATCAAACTCGTAGAGCATACAGTGGCGAATATGAATGTTTTTTTTTATCCATTTAATCATAAACCAGGTAACAAGGGAATAGAAGAGAATATATATATAAAACTATAACAGCATGACGTATTACAACATGCGCAAAAGAAATGTTATTATGTAATAGATATATTATTGCGTAATAAGAACAGAAGCGATCAAGGTCAATTTCAATGTTTTTTTGACCTTGAGAGAACAAGAACGAATGTATAGTAGTGAGATGAAAGTAAATGGAAGAACAAAAGAAATACAAATAAAACAATGGCGATTATATTGTTGATTGATGTTGCATATCTTTGTTGAAAAATAAAGTTATTGTTAAACCAGAAAAAAAAATTCTCAGAACTTATGCGCCAACGGGATACATAGGTTCTTCGAATTCACACCCACATGTTTTTAAATATAAGGGTAATAAACAAAATATTATAGTTGCTGTCAAATTGCTGTTGAATATGCGTGATATTATTTCTCCTTATGTAAATAGTTGTGTTTCATCCAACCATGACGAAAAAAGAAAACTAAGGGTCGATGAAGTTTCGTAGTATGGGCACATGCTGACCTGCAAATATCTTGAAATTTAAACATTATGGTCTGTATAGGCTATTGGCAGCTTATGTTTTAAACTAGTTGGTCTGCGAGTGAGAGCATTCATTTGATTCAACTATGAACAATCTCCTTAATTTCAAGTTATATGCCCTTCAATTGTTTGTTAATACGCAAAAACAACTAGCAAAAGACACCGAACGGCGGATTTTTTTACGAAGTCAAAAAGTCTCCTTACAAAAAAATATGCACAAACAAATCATATATAAACTGTGCAGATAGAAAAATCTTACGGAAAACAATAAAGGTTATAGAACATAAATTTTATATTATTTTTCAAGTTTTCCTTTGTTTGGAATTCCTTTCATAAATGTTTTTGAGCCAAAATATGTTTACAAAATCGTTGAAAAACAAATTAGCATTCATTCTTAAGTTCAGCAGCGCAACCATTTACTGATATATTAAAGTATTCGTCAGTGGTTGCAGAACGCAAAAATTACAAAAGATTAAGAAAGGAAAGAAAATATGGCATCGCTGATTTTAACTCTAAGTTTGTGTGAACACGAGTTCGGTTTTACTGAGAAAACACTGGTCATGTAAAGATAGAGAAGGGCAGATCGAAGAAAACACACACGAACACATATACGTGTATAGATACTTACATATATAGAGTGATGCATAGACGAGAAAAGAAAAATCGAATGATGTATATGCGAAAACATAAAGGAAAAAAATCAAGATGTGAAATGACATAGTTCGTAGGGAAAAAGTCTATGTATGCTGCACAGATACATATTGGAAGAATTCGCAACATTAACTTATGCATCTTTTCTTTTTACGTTATTAATACTTTGCTGGGCAAAAAAGTTTTGACCCATCAATAAAAACCTTGCTCATTTCGCCAATCGTTTTTTCGACACAAGAGAAGTTTGCCTATTAGTCTTAAAATCCTGATTACGCTGCTGAAACACAATCATAAATACGGATGCATGCAAATAAAATACTGTTTGCAAAAGCTAGGCAAACGCATCGAAATGAATTTGAAAGATATCAATCATTTGAGTATGGAATATTGACTTTCAAAAATACGTTACCTATCAACTCTAAAAGGTTAAGATGATATTTTAAGCTAGAAAGATTGCAGGAAGAAAGTATATTATTCTACTTTTTATTGGCGACCTTTCGTTGTATTTGCTTGATGCAGCAGTTCTGGTGATGTTGCGTCTGTCCGATTGACATACCTTGGAAAAGCCTTCATAATCTATAAGTAATCTTACGCATATGAGTATGAGTGCTGTAAGAGCTAAATTTTTATTAATCGCAATTTTGCCAATACACTATAGTCCCTAAAATCTTTCACTACCATATACTACCTGTCATCAAAGCGCTAGTTTATGAGAAAGTTATAAATGTTTCTTATACAGTAATAAAAGTATGAATGAATATGAGTAATTAGAAAAGAAACGAATGAAAATAGTTCATTTATAATGCTGATGGTGGTGAAACAAGTTTGCCACTGAATAAAACGATATTTTGTCGACTTTCGCGAATGAAAAATAAAAACGGTCGATCGGCTTTGAATAAAATCGGCATGGGTTTCAGTGCTGTTGCTGAAAACAACACAGAAGTAACACCAGCAGTAGCAGCTGCTGCTTTCGTTCCTTAAAACAAAACAAAAAGTGAGTAATAAACTCAAAACGAGAAAGTTTCTACTTTCTAATATATGGGTAAAGTTAAAAGAGCCAAAACATAGACTTGATTATTGATAGGTCATGCGAAAACCAGTTAATCAACATATTTTCCCACTTATTCAGGGAAGAATTTCAACAAAAGATTCCACTAAAAGATGCATCATTTCGCTAATTTTTATTGAATAATACATACAAATAATGGATGCGATTTTAAGTCGATTAAATTATTCAAATCATATGGAATTTTAGAATATGTTGGAACTACATTAAAGAGAGTGTGGTCACAATTTTAGCGTGCTAATGTTATTTTTTCACTATGTATTCATCAAGCATCAGTCATAAATATCTGATTTAGCAATCCCAAAAGTTGTGTAGATCAAAACCAGTACGAATACATGGTAACTTATAGCTGCTGTTCTGGATAGTTTGTGGTAAGCTAGTATCTACTGGAAACTTAAATGATTAGGTACAAGAGGCCTGCGTCATGTTAATCTTCTGTAAAAAGCTACATCAAGTATTATTTGAAAAGAAGATACTCGACTATTAAATTTACTACTCGGTAACACCTGGTACTGAAATGTAGCCGAACGGTCGAGGTATTGTTTCTTTCTCCTTTCCTGTAGATCTTAATTTTAGAGATTTCATCTTTATTTTCCTGGAAAGCACATACCAGATCGGAGGATTCATATGCTAATTCACACAAAAGAAGAATACAATCTATAGAATTAAGATCTAAAGAGGATTTATGCTTACCAAATGAACTACTTTTCATCTTGGTTTAATAAGCATACCATGCTCTCTAGAAGGAAAGATGCTTTATTGAACCGTTTCTTGGTACCATTTTCAGAATCATTTTTAAGTTCTAGCCAAAAGGTCTACAACTTGAAAACTAGGAACGCGAATTGCGAGTCGATTCACTTGGCCTTATAATGTCAGAGCCATATGCACAAATGTATGAACGGGGGAGAAAATTGGTTATTTGTGCCAGAAAGGAATCCTGGAATGCCTGAAGAGATTCGTGGATAAGTTGAACGGAGACGCAAAGGGACTCGGCGAATGAGGCGAAAAGCAAAATTTTCTAAGAAAAATCCCTGTAAAAAATACACACAAAGTCAAGCTGGAAGACGGGAAGCGATCCAGCCACAATTTATGCTGTGGGTGAAGAGCTCAGCCTTCGTAACCAACACAATACGTATTTGACAAATCTTGCGAGGGGATGGTTGAGTATTACGCAGTTACAAAAGCAGGTAATTCAGAAATTCTGTGATAGCGGGCTCAAAGTTTCACAAGGGGACACAGATAGTCCTCTCCACTAGTTCCCTCCTCTACATCCACCCATGTTTTGTGCCAGGATTACGGACAGGCAAAGATAAACTACGTTTTCTGGACTCTATTCATTCAATATAGGAAAAATTTTCTGAAAATGGCACCCAAATCTAAAACCTTAAAAAGTTCTAGATCGTTGCTTGAAACCTAAATGGTTCAATGTGACATATTTTCTTCTTAGAGAGTGAAAACATCAGGACACGGAGCTCAATATGTTATCATCGTAACTTTGCTAGTGCTCTAGCTCTTTTTTGTAGAAATCTCATATAATTTGAAGTTTTCTTGATTAAAATCGATTTTGAAGTAAAGGGCTTTATTATATTGGAGGTACGATTTTTTCTATCATAATCATTACTGTCAATTACAACTCTTTATAAATCAGATAAAGTAAATCAATTCGTGTTGTCTTTAACAAAAAAATCACTTTATATATATGTATAAAACTTACCTTGTTCATTGACATCGATAAAGGCTTTATGAATAACCTAAAAATTTTGCATTAATGGATAATATTTTTTCCAGCGGATATCGCTCTTACTTCACTGATAAAAATACCATCTTCACCATCTTGCTGACTAGTGATACCAGTAAAGTTTGCAGTAGAATTAAATGCATTTTCCATTCCAAGTTGTTTAAGAACATCACCCAATTTTAATGAAGCTTTCATTTTAAATTTTGGTAAGTATAAAAGTAGCTCTGTCATGCTAGTATTATGATCACTTAATACTAATTGCATTAAATCTGGTTGCAATGCTAATTTTCGTTCAACTTCATCTAATGAAATATCTTGCTTAGGTAAAATTACAGCGAAAGCAAACTGAATATTTTCATTATCACTTTGATATGGCAAATGAGCAATTTGTGCATGTAAATCATTGTTTTCAGCATAAGCATATTTTCCTGTTTGAAACATTACATCTATTTTTGAAATATGACCATTAGCTTCATAAAAATCAGCCTTTTTTGTCAAAATTTCCGGAAATCTATTTTTCCATATACCCTATTATTCAATAAATCAAAAAAATATTATTATACTTTCATAATAAATAAAGATTTACTTTAAAATAAATACAATTAACAATAATTAGTCGCGTATTAGTAGGAACAGCATCTGTCGAAAGCAAATTTTGAATTAATCGATTTGTTTGTTCTTCAACCCATGCATTTATTGTTTGGACAACTTCATTACGATTGTTTTCAAAATCTTCAAGTTTAACATCAGATTGAAAAGAATTTTGAACAAGTTTTAAGTAATCATCTTGAATTTTATACGCTTTGCTCGCATAAAGTCGATTAGCTAATTTAAATTCTACCTTTTTATTATGAGCAGTCATGGAAATCATATGCATAATTTGCTCAACTGTTTTTGTTAATGCTTCTATTGATGATGCATGAAGTACACGTAACGCTTGATTTAATGTTTCGTCTCGAGCACCAGCTATACACATTGACAAAGCCAGAGCAATACTTGTTGGCGAAAGAAATATATTTGTACCATTCTGTTGTTGACTAACATTTGAAAAAAGTTCGTAACCAAAATGTTCTAAATCTGCAGCTGTTGATGGCGACGATAAAATTATACTGTCGGTGTCTGTGAGAAGAAGAAAGGAATGAAGAAAAAATGATCTATACTGTTGTTCTTTTAGTAAGTGTGATAGACCTACTCCTGAGAGATAAAATGCTCTCATAAGCTAGATAGATATAAAGTTACCAATTAGTGAAAATTGAGTAGCATACATCGTTAGAAAAAATCTGTAAATCATCAACAATTAACGAACCTAAATCATTGAAGCTGCTTGAATATTCGAGTTGAGAGGTGTCCGTCTCTGAACAGAAATTGAGCAAACTTTATGATGGAGAAAAGCAGAAGAAAAGAAAATCGATGTATTTTCCTAACCATGCATTTTTTCGCTTGGAAAATAAAGAGAAATCCAAGGTAAAATAAAAGTTGATACGGCTGAATAGATTAAGATTCCAGCAACACAAATCCGTACAATTGTTTTGCATAATATCCATAGAATATCCTTCATTTGCCTATAATAGAAATATAATTTATCGTTCTTGCATTATTTTACAATCTTTTCTAGGTAGGTGAATTTCAATTCTTTGTGGCAGTTTATCAGAAGAACAAAATAAATATTATGAACATGTTTCCCACATATTTCAAAAGTGTCTCAATCATCTTGCTTTCTTGCTTCTTACAACCCATCCCATGACAACAAAATAGCTAAACGAGTTCAGACTTGTAGTCGATTGTTCAGGACTTAGGATTCTTTCACTAAATTTTCGGTATATCTAAAAATTTTTTCGAAAACTCAAACTAATAATATAAATATAAAATTTCGCTACGAAGAGATCAAATAAGCATTGGAATGTCCTGAACGTTTCGACCAGCATAAAAATACATTTCCTAAAATAATAGTTAATTTTTAAGTGAAACTGACTTTTAGTGGCATATATCTCGCAAGCTATCAATTTTTGGAAATTCAATATTTTGAAAAGATATTTTCTTGATAGGTGAAACTTTCAGGATATTCTCAGGATTAATGATGGACGATTAACCTCGACTCTAAAATTCAGCTCGACCTTATTACTTGATGCTTAATGTTAATGAGAATCACTAAATAAATGTTTTAATTAAGTTGGGGGAAATAAAAATGGCTTAGTATAGGCACATACCTTTTCTTTTTTCATATATTACGGTTGCGATAATTTTTCCAACGCGAAAATAAATTAAACATGCATGAAAAGTTTTATTGTCTACATAAGTGGATGTTAGTTGTATGATATATAGACTATACCGCGCTCTGCCAATAAGATTTTCGTAAAATAGACTAACACCCTCTGTACTTTGACCAATTGGTGGAAGTCCACTGAACTCTCATATATCTCAGCATGGGTAAATGATAAAAACTTGATTCTTTGCAAAATATATGACGTGAAAAGCTCTACAAAATTTAGATCACGAAATATCGATTCACTCGATCTATTGATGTTTTGCTAAATGGCTTTTATGATCGCTGCTGACACCACTAGATAATCTTTTTGTTCTCGTCTATCTTAATGTGTTTCCTTTTCTGTCTTATCTAATGTTCACCTATCCTATGTACATATAGAGAGGCGTATGCGTTTTTTTTTGAAAATGTGTTCTTCAAGAAAATTAAATAAACGAATAAAGTTTGGTTTAAATTTTAAAAATGGTTAAAAAAACATATCTATGTGATATTGCTATTACTCTTTATAAATTGCAATTTTATTTGCAAATAAAATTCATTTTACTGCAGTTCTTTGTTGAATTTGACAATAAGACAAAAGTGATTTATTTTCTGCAGGGAAATTAACAAGAAAAGTAAGAAATGAAAGATGATCACGGTTAATCAGTATAGTGAAAAACGATCCATGCCGAGAAAACTTGGATTCTCTGAGAAACCGCCGGTTTTCTCTAGATGTGGACTTGCATCGGAAAACAATATAATATAGTAAAAGAAACATATTTAAATCGCGTGTTAGTAGTTACATTCGGGCTGTTTCTTTGATCATCCGTTTTCATCACTGAATAAATATAGATACTGAATTTTGTTTTTATCTATAACAGAAGAGAAACTTATGTCAGTAATGAAAAGTATATCTACTAACAAGGGAACTATCTGAGGTATTATGGTTCGTTTTAACTCATTCATATTTCGTCCGATAAAGTATATAGAGATAGTAAAAAGCTTAAAAGAATGTTGCTTTCTGGACATATTGAGCTTTCAAGTGGAGTCGATTTTCCTGATCTATCTGTTAGACATATCCTGAACTCGAACACAAACACTGGAACTCTATCCTTAATTTCAAGTCGAGCTCTATCTCATGAAACTCAAAAATGTGTTCGAATTTAGTATATTTTGAACAGATATGTCAGAAAAATCGACTCCAATTGAAAGCTCAATGTCGTCAGAAAAGAATATTCTTTTAAGTTTTTTACTACTTCAATATACTTTATCGAACGCTATATGAATATGTTAAATCAAACCGTAACATCACAGGTGGCTCTCTCGTTAGACATTTCTACTCTGATAAACCAATCAATAAATTTGGGTTGACATATAATTCTTATATTCACCAAATCCTATAAAAATAATAGTTGCACTTTCTTGAGAGTGTGGGGGAAGTGTAGATCGACATTCACACCGTCATACTCGCATCTTCATCCACAGTAGCATTTATCTAGCAGTAAGTTGTTTGTATTGCAATGAAACGCAAGTTAAAGCTGGTTAGAAGATACATTTCTGAAATTCAGGATAACATATCAGTTATGTTAGAACGCATTGAACGAGTAGGAAAGCTTCACTGCGAGTGAAGGTTGATTCTTTATTTTTTCGAACCGAGAACTAGGATGAGCTGTGTTGTTTGATAATAATCTGGTAGGAGTTATATAGTTTTTCCTATTATTTAATATAAATCGATTTGATTCGTCAATTAACAAAATTATAACGTTTGAATTATTTATTCGTTCTAAATTATTTAAGGATTCAAATCGATTGCTGAAGTTGAGTGTTTTGTTTTTTTTATATTTTTTTATATTGAAATATAGAAATATGAAAAATTGTTTGAACTATATTTCAAATGAGAGAATAATTTTTTGAGATGAAGAGAAGAACAGGATGAAAGAGGAAAATGAAACTTTTATCAGTAAAAAATAATTTTAGTGAGTCAATGAAACAAATGAGTTAGGATTAGGAGTAGGGAAAATATAATGAATGGAATATTAATATCGTTTATTAATATAAGAAAAAATTTTGGATAAGAAAAAAAACAAGGATTTTATTTGGACAGGAAAAATGTAGATTTAAATATAGCAACGCGTTTCGAATATTTCTTCGTCAGGCTGGATACAAGTTGATGATGAGTTTTAGCTAAGAAGATGACACACATATTGAGAATTAACAACTGTACAATTAAATTAAATAATACAGTTAAACTAAATACATTTAAATTAACACGATAAGAAATGAAGAGGAAAAAGTTATGAAGTGTACAAGTATAAAAATAATAGAAAACAGTTACTCATATGATGCTTTTTATTTGATTTTCATACATGTTGACCGTAGGTTTTTGAATTATTGTCTTTCATTATATGATGATTTTTGGTGATCGATGTAGGAAGCTCTTTTTCAAACATATATCAGATGTGCCATGTTTAATATAAAGATTTCTTCGAATCAATTCAATATATGAAGTTCTTTTCAATCAATAAGTAGGTAGTCATCATAATCAATAGTAGTAATTATAATATCTTCAATTTTATTTAATGTAACGTGTTTAATGATAAAATTTCATTTTAATGCGGGGAGTTATTCCTCAATTCAATATTGTATTTCCATGTGAAGAGTTACTTTTTCATTCAATATTGTAAGTTAATATGATATAATCAATATGGTTCAATAACAAAATTTTATTTCGATGAGATACAATTAATATGGTTAGTCAATATAATATAATATAATGTGATCAATATAATAAAAGTTATGTTCGTGCTAGATGATGTGAAGGGAGATATGTTTTGGTTAACAATTTTTGTATCGGGTATAAGAATGAATCGGTATGAGTGTGAGTAGCATGTTGTGGGGATTGTAGGAGAAGATATTCCGTAGAACACAGCTGAGAAATTAACAATAGTTGAGAAATTAGCAATAGAACTCAGATGAGAAATTAACAATTTCTAATGAGAAGTTAACAATTTTTAATGTGAAATTAACAATTTTTAATGTGATTACAGGAGTAATGACAAGGAACAGTGAACAATAGTGAGCAAACAGGAATAATGGTGAAGAAAGTTAACAATTTTTTATGTTATACAGAGATGGATAAATAGGAATGGATAAATAGGGGCAAGGATAAGGATAGATATTTTCCACAAAGAACATAGATGGCAATAGATGAGAAGTTAACAATTTTTGTAAGTAATACGGAAATGAGGTAAGAAAAAATATTGTTTGTTATTTTTTATTTTTATTATTAATATTGTGTTGGTGTTTCATTTTATTCAATTCTCTATTTTCTTTTTCAACTTCTTACTGTGGTAAAAGGCTGATAACGCTCTTTGGTGTTTTTTTTGTGAATGAGAACTCTACTCAAATTGTCTGTAAGACGATGTGCATGTACTACGGGAATGTCTTCTAAAGGTGTTCCTTCGAAAATTTCGTGGCATATTTGATGGAATTTTGCTCCAAACTGAGCTAGTGATGGAGTATGTGCAAAGTGTCCTAGAATGGTGTGGGTGTGGGTGTTAGTGTGTTTCTAACTATACCCCCACTCACACCCACATCCACACCCTCAAATAAAGAAAAATTAGAATTAATAAAATACGAATTTCAAATGGATGAGAATTTTATTTCATCGACTGTTTTGTCATAATAATCATTTTCCAACAAGAACGACAAGGAGTTTTTTTTTAATTTTCTACATAAATCTCTCATCAATTTGAAATTATTTGTTTGTATTCGACATTAAATTAAATTAAATTTTTATATGAAGTTTGAAATTTGACTTCTTTGATCAGCTAAGATCAATTTGATACAATGTCAAAATAAACAAAAAAATATACCGGCAGAAAAAAAAACGAGAAAGAGAGAAAATACCAGTCAGATAACAAATACAATATTTTTGTAAAGACATTATTGAGAAAAATTCAATATCAATCATTTATAAACAATAATAAATCAATGAAGATCACATTATGTACAAAATAAAAAGAACAGAGAGAAACAACTAAATAATGTCAGAATTAAGAGACAATTGCTATACATAAACCTTCGCGATTATGATTATTATTCACTAATCTTCGTTTTTGGCAAGTTTTATAACGTAAACATGTAACATATTTAATATCGCTGACGATGAATAGACAAAGAAAAATACCGTATAAAAAAGTAGATGAATATAAAAGAAATTCACTTGTGTTATAATTTAAACAAGTACTTTCATGCGCATTAATTACGATAATGATGAAAATGAAAAATGTGACAAACGAAAATACATCTCGAAG